AAAAATAAATAAATAAATAAATAAAAACATATATATCTAAATTTTTGTTTTGATTTAATAAAACAAAATACGAAACTCGAATTTTCCACAGCACTATGAAGCTATTGGGCAATTATGTTCTTCTTCTTCCTCTCCAATTAACAGGCCTTACATGATGATGAACTCATTGGGTACTCTAATGGGTGATTTTGGCATTTCGACGAATGGGTTACAAGATGAAAAGGCCAGAGATTCAACGACAGACTCTCTAGAGTCACTTGATTGCTTGCTTTCAGCAACCAACAGCGACATTGATACATCAACTGGAGATGATCATGGGATCTCCATGATATTCTCACTATTCAAACATTTTCACTCTCTCTCCCTATAATAAAATATAAAAAAAAATATAATAATAAAATATTTTATTTATATCCATATTTACCTATATCCATCGCCCACAACTCCCACATCTATATTCATCCATATATCCATCACCTATACCTCCTACAACTCCCACACACACGTTTATGTATCCAGTTTATTCCATATTTTATTCAAATTCAATCATTCTCTTTCATCTACCAATTTTTATTTTCTTTTATCTACCTATCTTTTCTCAGACCAACTCATCCTCTTCATTATTATATTTTACAAGTTTGATGATCTTCGAATATCATATTATCTTCTCCATTATTACATTTTCTAAATTTGATGATCTGTAAAAATTATTACAAAGTCAGTGTAATATTATTTCGTACTTTATATCTCTATGTATATATATATTTCTTTTTCCTAATATTTTTCAATTCATCTATGCATCTTTTCATTTTCTCCATTTGTATGCTCCCAATACTATTTCTTATTTTATATGCATTTTTTTTGAATGTTTATTATTTATATGTACATATTTCTTTTTTCCAATATTTTTCAAGTCATTTACACATCTTGGCCATGTTTGATTGAGGGTTTGGGAGGGTGGATTGGATTAGCAATCCGTGGGACCCACCGAAGCCTTGTTTGGATTCAACACAATGTGATAGGATTAGTAGTGAAGGGGGCTTAGTAATCCTCCACTGTAAAGGGATTAGCTTGGGTGAATTTTAGGTGGGATTAAGAAAATAGTGAGGGGATTGAGTCTATTTTATATAAAAAAATTATTATTTTAATTTTATTTTTTTTTACCAAGTGCTCCTATTTGTTTTAATATTTGTTTTAATTTTTTTTAATATAGAAATAATTTATTTATTTATTTTATATAAAATTAATTTAACAATCCCATCACTAACCATCTCCCACACTATCATCAAAACAAACACACTTTTAATTAATCACCTCACTAACAATCCACACATTAACAATCTTTTCACTAACAATCCTTTCACTAACAATTCCATCCAACCTAATCCGCCAAACAAACGTGGCCCTTAATCATATACGATTTGTTTTCTTTTTCCTAATATTTTTTAGTTCATCCACACGTCTTTTCATCTTCTCCATTTTTATACTCATAATATTACTTTTTACTTTATATGCATTTTTTCAGTGTTTATTACTTTTGTGTGTGTATGTTTTTTTCTCAATATTTTTTAGTTCGTCTACACATCTTTTCATCTTCTCCATTATTACATTTTGCATAGTTTGGGCATACTTGCTTTTTAATTTGTGGTTTGTGTTTGTTCTCCAATTTAATCAGATTTGATTTATTTCTTTTCATATAACAGTGTTGATATCTTCTTCGACTTATATAAATCCTCTCTTTTACATATCAAAAATAGTTCACCTAAAATTCAAGAAAATTAGATGTCTATCACATAACTTAGATAAATTAAAATAAATCTCACTCTCAATTAAATAAGTTAATAAAAAAAATAACATAAACCTACAGATATGTTTCCAATGTCTATCACGTTTGAAAAATCTAGAAATCCCCTAGATGTTGATTTGTGATTATGTATCAATTTTAAGCAGTATATAACAATCACAATCAAACAATCAAGACAAATCGACACAACGATTTTAACATGGAAAAATCACAATTGGAGCACTTCCAATTGCGATAAAAAAAATCACGGGCAACAGCAACAAAACAATCCACTAAGAAGATATAAAGGAATTACACAGGTATACTCTCAATTACCTAGCGAATCCACGCCTGAATTGAACCAACCTCTATGTGCCTCTTCCAACCCCGTCTTCACCTCGGAATTGTCTTGACGATGAGCCACTCTAGAATCCACCAAAACTTCAAGCTCGTATTCTTCAGAATCCACCGAAGAACAACTCTCTCTTTTGTGTAGAACAAACAAATAATCCTTTGATGTATACTCTTTAAACCATGAGTTGAATACTCAATCAAAACATCAAAGAAAACTAGCAAAATATCCCCAGATATAAACCCTAGAACCCAAGAAGAAGATCTGGAGAAGTAATCCTAGATTTGGAGCAACTTGCTAATTTATAGAATCTGAAATCGCGAGGTCCGCTCGAGCGTGGGAATTGACGCTCGAGCGGGGACACTATATGAAATGCTCCAAACAGGATGTACGCTCGAACGGGGATTTTGACGCTCGAGCGTGAAAACACGGATCACAGTATTTTTGCAGACTCACCAAACTTCTGGAACTCAGCATTCTCCGCTCGAGCGGGGGAATGAACGCACGAGCGGGGAGGCAACTTTGAATGCATTTTTGCATTTTGCTTCGGGGGCGCTGCCCCGGACCTGCCAAGGGATGCTGCCCCCTGGACCCCCACGAGTTGACCAGGCAACTCAATCCCCGTCATAATCAGCGAAGTGGCAATCTTGAAAGAATTAATATCACAAACTTCTCTACAAAGCACAATTCGGGTTGGATTCGCATCTAAACACTTATAGCCTCACTGAAATAAAAAGTGCGAAAACAAATATAACGTAAAGGAGTTTTGTCAAACGGGTTTGCCAAGAATAAAAACCTAACAACGTTATTTAAAAAAAAAAAAATCCACAAAATCTAAACCCACAAAATATATATCTATATATAAATTATAAATATCCAATGTCTATCATATTATTTTTTTAAAAAAAAACTCTCGAACATCTGTAACTTAAATAAATTAAAAACATATATTCAAATTATAAATATCTAATGTCTATCATGTTATTTAAAAATAAAAAAAATCCACGAGTCTTATTCATACAATTTACGCATGCATATCCATCACCCACAATTCACTCAATCAGATATCTATCACGTAAAATCCAATACAAATCCACCAAAAACACTGCTTTGTGTTTATTTTGTAATTTAAAAAAAAAATCTCAAAAAAAATCTAAATATAATCCTCTTTTTCCTTTGTGTGTGTGTGTGTGTGTGTTTTTTTTTTTTTTTTTCATGTACAACAATAATTTGATTACGTTATCTTTTTCTTATTTTAAAATCATTGTATTATAATTTTTTTACAAAAAGTTACTTTAGCTCCTCAATAGATGGATATTGTATAGTAGATTTTTAATTAATTTATGTATTTTTTATATATATACAATAAACAATGATACTTATTGAGATTTTTTACTCTTTATCTTTTGTATTTCAGGCACCATTGAGCTTGCTTATCTTATTCTTTATGTAATTGTATGTCAAATGTGTTAAATTCATTATGCAGATAAATATGTGGCCTCCTCTAAAGTTGCGTCGTAGCCATCGTTTGGCCATGTAAAATGCCATAAATGAATTTCAAATTGTATTGCATAAAGAGGATTTACCAATAGAAAATATTGATGATCGGCAAATCAAAATATGTCGGGCAATGCAAAAATTAGGAAAAAAAAAAAGTGAAAAAAATTTGGTGAAAACAATATTACCATCGAACTAGAATAAGGTAAAGGGAACAAATTTTGAAAAATTTATATAAACGCTCCTCGTAAGGTAATATATCTTCTTCTTCTTTTTTTTTAAGTTTATTTGTATGTAAAAAAATGATAACATTTTTTTTTCTTCTTTTTTTTAACAGCTATTTTCTGGGGCATTTGGACATGATGAGCAATATTTATTGAGTTTTAATTTATCAAATATAGATAGATTTAATTTATGACATTTAGTTTATTATTAGTTTTTTTAGAATATATATGTTTTAAATATTAGGTTCATTAAGAAACATTTTATTTATTGTTAATTTCATCAATTAGAAATCAAATTTATTATAAAAATATATTAGTTGGATGATTATAATATTTTGTGAATATTTGTTTTGAAGTATTATTGTCTTTACTTATGAAATTTGAAAAGATGATCTATATGCATTATGATTATAATTTTATGATTTAAATTAGAACTTAATGTATTATTAAAAAATTTATACATTATTAAATCAATCTCGTGCATAGCATGAGTTTGCCACTAGTAATATAATTATATAATTGTAGATAGAGATTAGGGCAAGGGTGACCTGGGCGTTGTCATTACATTCACCTTTTAATTAAAACGTTCTATAATTCTAATTTTTTATCTTTATTTCATTAAACTTTTCATAATTCCAAAAACTATCATTATTTCTAACATTTCAAACTGTAATTCTACATCTATCACAACCACCAATTTTAACCACCACAACCACCACCTCCGACTACTACCCCTAGTCCTTCCCCACTAGTGCAACCTTCCCTTTGTGCATGCAATAGAAAGAAAGGCATGAGATTTAGGGTTTCAAAGTGGGAACCTTCCCTTTGTGCATGTAATAGAAAGAAAGGAATGAGATTTAGGGTTTCAAAAAGAATAAGGAAGTGAAGGGGGCAACATGTAGAAAAGGGGAGGAAGAAAGGTGATGCGGTGGACGAGGCGGTTATGGGTAACAGGGAAAAGTGTCTGTAGGAAAAGAGATGGTGGATGATGGCGACATGTTCGACAGGGGTGGTGGCAACAGCTGATGATGGTGTTGGGGATGGGTTGGGCAGGTAGAGAGATTAGGGATTTGAAATTTTAAGATTTGAAGACAAAAATAATTTATGTCGCCACAAAATTGTAAAATATTAAAAATGAGTGATGTGAAAAAATGAAAAGAAAAGCATACTATATAGCAATACACTTCCACGAGTAATATGCCTCCTTTCAAGATACTATATAGCAATGCATTTCACGTGAAAAAATATCTCTCAATTCAATCTGACAAGAGAATTTCTAAGAATATACCCGTCAGTTCATTTCCGATAATACATCCTAGTCAATTGATCCCAACAGTGCCATCTTGTCTTCTGTTGCGAAATTTCTTGACAATAAGAAAGCAAGCACTTGGTGTCTGTGATGACTAGGTTTCAGAGTCATTGTTCAACAGATAGTTTTCTAATAGGGCATGTCCTCGTATTGTGCCCTTTTTCTAGGCATAACCAGCAAGTGTATGTCCGACTTTTAGGGGCATCATATGATTTTCCTTGAGTGGCTCGTGGGCATGTCCTGCAATTATGCCCGCTCTGACCACATATCCTGCAACAATGATGCCTTGGAACCTTGGCTTGTGATTGAGTTGGCTTTGACTTAGGACAGGTTCTTCTGTTATGCCCCTTTTCCCCACATAACCGGCACTTGAACCCTCTGTCTGTCAAGCTGTCTTGAAGTTCTGGGCAGTAGTACCTTCTATGCCCTTCCCGTCCACAGTTCCTGCAGTAAAATTTCACTCCTGCATAAATTTAACCGATGTCAAGTTTGATCAAAGGGTTAACATTCTAATTACATCGAAGGAAAATCATGGGGAACAACTATAGTGTTTGCTAGAGTTTTCTAAATATGATTTGAAAATAGGAATTATATTTTGAATTTGTGAGTTTTGGAATTATGATTTGAGTACAGAAAATTTGCTTAATGAATGAGTTTTAAAAATAGTTTTGAATTGAGTGGGGAATGTTTGATATGACATATGATATATGATACAAAAACATACAATTCATAACCAAACACACAACTCAAAAATCTATTAAAAGCTCATAAAAAATTTCAAAAATATTGTTTTATTAAAAATAAAAAAAAAAACAAGTGCCAATTGCAACCAAAAAAAAAAAAAAATCGCACTATTTAGGTCAACCGGCCGGTCAATCGACAGGACGTCCGGGAGGACGATTGGTAGGCCAAATTTCAAAATTTAAAAGGCCGCCTGGAACGAGTTTTCAAAGGGAGTGGTGGAATTAATTTTTCAAAATTCAAACCAAACATCATACTAGAATGCAGGGGTAGAACTATGAGATATAACAAGACATGCACCACATGTCAAATAGTCATCACCTATTAGCTCCAGAAAATACTCAGTAAATTTCAAATTATGAGTTTATACAGATTCCAATCATCTACAAATTCATATTGGAATAGTGACCATGGATGATATGGAAATTTAAATATATCCCAATAATGTGACCGCAAGTGTGAAACTCAGTAGAATCCCTCAGCAACATCAAAAAGGGCACTTAGCAATGGTGATTCGTAGTATGGTTTACAATCCTAGCATGGTTCAAAAGCATAGCAAAACATTCCAATCATATAAAATCTGCTCACAAAATAAAAATTAGATGTGTGTAAATATATCACTAAAAAGATGTCACCATGTCCTGCATTGATGGAAGTACATGAACAACAGACCTTTCATCGAAACACTTCTCTTGCGACGGTTTTCTGGATCACTAAAGAAAGCTTTCATAGCTTCAGATGCATGCTTCCTTGCTGCAGCAGTCCCTTTAGTTTTCTACATTAAAATATACTTTAAATCTGAGCCTTACTGTTTAAATTTATTCTAAATTTTGTGAATTGATACACTTTTCTTACAAACTACTCCATGTATGCATGATAGTCGTCAAGCATTTTTTAAGCAAAGATATGCTCTTCATGTGCACTCATTAAGTGGCTTTATACTTCAATCTTCCCAAATGAATCATATAATTTTTATTAAATAATTTTATCTCTTTTGAAAATATTGGAAAATAGAACATTACAAGTTTGTAAAGTACACAGCATTTTTTTAATATATATATATCGAAGCACAACTTTCGGTTTTTCCAGCTTCTCATAAATTTAAAGTCATTAAAAATACAAAATACATGCATAAGCATAAGCCATAATTCTGGTATAGTATTCTGTCCAGATTCTTAATTTTTTATCAATATGGAATCAGACTTTAAAAACCATGCATTCAGATATATAATTTTATCTCTTTTGAAAATATTGGAAAATAGAACATTACAAGTTTGTAAAGTACACAGCATTTTTTTAATATATATATATCGAAGCACAACTTTCGGTTTTTCCAGCTTCTCATAAATTTAAAGTCATTAAAAATACAAAATATATACATAAGCATAAGCCATAATTCTGGTATAGTATTCTGTCCAGATTCTTAATTTTTTATCAATATGGAATCAGATTTTAAAAACCATGCATTCAGATATAAAAGTTCTAGACAGATTTCAGACCTTAATCGCAGCCACTCTTTGAGCATGTAGCATAGGATCACGATGGATAATCTTCATTCTCTTACTAAATAGGCCAGTTCTGGCATTGAGGCTCTGCAACCATCCAACTAAAAAAAGAAGCTTAAATTCACGATCTAATCAATATATCTCTATCCATGAAAATCATATCCACAAAAATAACAGATACAAACTGTAGTCACTGTGAAAACTGCAAATTGTATAGAATGAAACCATCTATGGAAAATTCGATTCCTTGGTTTTGCTTGATTTCAGATACTTAAAGCCAAGTTTGGCAACTCTGAAAAAAGCCAAAAAGTTAAAAAGTTATCACTACTCACCAAAAAAAATATTGAAAAAATAATTTCCCACACATAATACAAGTCAGCCATCATGAAAAGTCAAAGGGGCTGTGCAGCGTTTGTCCCAAGTATTAGACAGTTTGGGATAATTTTCACACACTGTTGTTTGGCCCATGGGGGCCTATCACGGGTCCCGTTTTGATAATCTGAACCGTTCAATGTGTATAAATCGCCAAGTACTATATGTCTGTAAAAAATAACATTGATCGAATATCGATAATTATATGATCAAATCAGTTTTGTATGAAAAAATGGATGATGTTATAATTAACGATTGAAAAAAAACAAATCTGATCAGATAGCTATCGATATCCGATCAACGTGATTTTTTATAAGCACATAATGCTTGACGAGTTCTACATATTGAACGGTTCTGATTATCAAAATGAGACCCGTGATGGCCCCCACGGGGCGAACAAAACAGTCCACTACAATGCCCGAAAAGTACCCAATAATTTCTTACCAAGAATTTGGCTGCCAAATTGTACCGCTGTCATTCACTCATCTCCAATCTTCTCCTACACACTTCTTTATATAATTTTTTAATACACATTTTTCCATAAAAGTTCAAAAAGTTAACCCAAACATCCATATTTTTTAATCCAAAAAGACAAAAAGTACACTTATTTAGAACACCCTAAACAATCCCTTAAGGATCCTCTCTCTCTCTCTCTCTCCTCATTTTCTTTTCTGGGCTCAAGGATCCTTCATAGTTCAAGTAATTCCTCTATCTCTTGCACAAGTGCCATTAATAGAGGCTTGGGCTGGACAGTGGACACTTTAGAATAATAATTGTACTCCATCATTTGACTGTATCGTGAAAGAAATGAAGAATTTTTTTCTTCAAAGTAAAACCAAAAGTGGGGAAAAAGTAAATCAGAAATCATCAGTAAAGCTGGTAAATGAGACAAAGTAAACAATAAACTGTCTAATAGCACAGTTTCATGTGTTCAATGCAACTAAAAATGGAGCAAAAAACTAACTTTTAATGATCTGCTGATCTTTAAACCAACTTCAGGAGGTAGAGACGAGTATACACGCTTTGTTTTCCGCCTCACTTTCAACTTTATGTCTAAATTGTCTACTTCATCATCTTCCTTTACTTTAAATGGAGAACTGAAAAAGCATACACATATAAATGAGCTTTCAATAGACAGACATTAAAAGTAGATATATATTGAGCGAAAAGGCTACATAAAACTTGCATATATATCGAGCAAAAAGCCTACGTAAGAAGATAGAATACCTAGTTGCTTAGTTGCCTTTTTTTTCTTTTCTTTTCTTTTTTCGTTTTCTTTTTTTCTTGTTGCTTGATTGATGCATTTTAGCAATGATTCAACTTAAAAACGATAACAAATACAATATTCAAGAAAATATAGTATAGGCTCTGACAGCAGCAATACATAGTGTTGGAAAATTTAAATGTAAGTGTGAATCAATAAGAAAAGAATTACATAGAACGGGCTTTCTCCCATGGCTGTTCATCAATTGACTCTTCCCATATGACACAATCTCCCGAGCATTGATGACAAGTCTTTATACCCTATTAGAATTGGGGAACCAAAATAAGTGCAGGGCCAAACAAATAAAAAGCATATACACAAAGAGCAATGTCTTAGTTCTACCAAGATATTACCAACATAGTACAGTCCACACACTATTCAATGCAAATCTAAATCTAGTCATAATACTTGTATGCAATTTAAAATATGAGGTGTGCAAGAACATTTACCTTTCCATTACATTGTGAACAATCTAATCTAGATCGCTCTATTCCACATTCTGTACATGGAGTATAACCCCTTCCCCTGCAACTTGGGCAAGGCAACTCTTTGATGTACTGGCCATTTGGACCAAACCACGATCTAGGTTTGGGTGCACCAGAAATGATATTCCTGAAATCAAGAAGCCCCCAAAATTCACTCTTCCATTGTACATCTAATGAATAGTGAAATACAAGCAAGCCACCGCAGCTTAACATCTGACATTACCACTAAATTAGAATGTTTTAGCAGAGAAGAGTCAATTACAACAACATCTAATAACGGACTTCTTCTTTTTTTTTAAAGCAGATGCGAAACAGAAAAGCCACCAGATTTATAACTTGAAATCTCCAAATATAGTAGAAAATCTAAATCGTGATAGCTAGGCGGGACAAATGAGATTCTACAACTAACGTTAAGCACGAATTGGAATACACACAATTCCGGTTTGTAAACTAGGTGAGACAATAAATGAGAAGATTATGGCTTCTCGCCTAGGTGAGAAAAGAAAAGAAATGATCATCGTTTCTCACCTTAAACTAAACACCATTTTGTATGGATGTATAAGCAATTTTTTTTACAATGCTTTGTATTTAGATGGACAATTTAAGTAATTTGAAACAAATTTATACACAACTACATGAGAAACAAAACATTTTAAAAGAATATTTTTCTTACATATTCTCACCTCAATCACAAATGACGAGAGTTGTCATTCTCTAAATTTCTTTTATTTTCTGACCAAACTCCTCAATCCAGACAGGTTAGTTAAATGATAAACATGTTCACCAGTACCCATAAATTAGGAAATCCTAAAGAACACCCCAATCTCTCTTTAAACATTTATAGAGATACATGTTGACGCAAATAAGAAATTGTACAAATATACAAAAGGGGAGGGAGAGAGAGAGCTTAAACCTTGGCTGGACATCAACAGCAAGTCCAAAGAGGTCCTCTGAAGGATCATAACCCACCTGCCAATAACAACCCAATTACAATGGTCTCATTTTGATTCGGACACACACACATACATATACATATATATATGCGCGAACACAGAGAGAGAGACAGAGAGAGAGAGATGCCTGGTTTTTGTTGGGCGGTGGTGAGACTGAATCATCGTTTAAGGAGGAAGAAAGTGAGACGCTAATATTTCGCTTTGAATGGAGCAAAACCCAGAGACTCAAGCCTCTGTTGTGTCTCCATTGAACTCTGTTGTGTCTCCATTGAGGCGCTAAAACTCGAAAAGAGGACCAAATCGACGACATTTCACTACGATTTCGTTCATTAACTACATGAGATGAGAGAGAGAGAGAGAGAGAAGAAGAAGAAGAAAGAGATGAAGAGGATTTCAATCCTTTTTCGCGTGTGGATGAGAGACAAGAGGCTCGACTTTTCGCTCCTCTACGCGCAGCTTCGCGATGTGCTCCGTGAGCTTGGCTGATAGTAATATTGATCCAACGGCTGCTATCAATGTATTTCCTTTCTTTTACAAAAAAATAAGTAAATAAATAAAAAATAATAGAACACAAAATACTCATATATGATTGGTCATATAGACAGTCTCATTTTCTCTTTGTTAATTATAATAATACAAAATTAAAATACATAATAAGCCACAAAAAGTGTAATGGTTAATTTAGATTTATACAGTTTTTTTTTTTTTTTTGGTTTTTTGTGTGTGTATGTGTGTGTGTTTTTTTTTAAATATTTTATGTAATTTTTTTATTTTTTAAATACACCTAATCTAAATATATTTAAAAAGTATAATATTTGTAAAAAAAATTAAAAAATTCACCAAATACAAAAAATACCAAAAAAATAAAAATTCAATAAATTTTCATATTTTGTGGTATAATTTTTTTTAGTTTTAAGTATATTAAGATTAAGTGGATCTAAATTTTTTTTAAATTTGATTAAAATATTTTTAAAAATCATTATAAATACAAAAATAAGAATTAAAAACTCAAAAAACTGTTTTTAAAAATTTAAAACCAAAAGGGGTAATGTGAAAATCACTAGTTTTTGTTGCACAATTTTTTTATTTTTTATTTTTATACTTGGTAGGATGTTAACAAATTAATAAATTAGATTAGTATAACTTATTTTTTTAAAAAAGAGAAAAATCTAGAAGTAAAACTATATGAAGTAAGTTGAAGTTGTTATACAATAAATTTAAAAGCACAAAGAAAATTACAAAAATTATAAAATCTTTAAAAGTAAGGCCAAGTTTGGGAAGACTAAAAAAGTGTACTTTTTGTCTTTTTGGACTAAAAAATTGAGATTGAAAATATGGATGTTTGGGTTAACTTTTTGACTTTTTATGGAAAAATTTTATAAAATATTATTTATACATATTGGGTTTCTAGATTTGTCATCATACAACCCAATATATTTTGTTCATAAATTACTTTTGTCTTTTGTCTTTTGTCTGAATTGTAAAATTAATGTACATATAAAAAAATATATAGTAATTCTTTTTAACATTATTTAATCCTTAATGACCACTAATAAACTGTTACAAACAAGACTCATAATTTATGATGATTAAAAGTGGACGAATTGGCACAAAATAATAAAAAAAATAATAATTAATGGCCTATTTGGTATAACGTGGACCGCGATTCATAGTATAAGTCCTCTCAATCAGCACTCATCAAAACCCTCTGATTTTTACGGTAACACTGAAAACTCCACAGAGATGCTGAACCTTTTTCCATCTTCATCTTGTTCATGTCTCACCATCCAAAACCCTAATAAACTCTCCTCTCTCGAATCCATTACACCCACTTGCTTAAACCCTAACACCTCTTCTCTCTCCTCCTCTACAACAACCAAACCCTCTTCCCAAAACCTCTCCTTCAAATGCCGCCACTCCAACAATTACTTCGAACAACAGCAACAGCAGAGGTTCGCCCCCAAACCCCCACCAACGAACGACTCCAAGTCAGGTGATTTTCTCTTCATTTTCTTGCTATCCAAACAGGGTGTTGAGTTGGGTTTTAATTCATTTTGTGTTTGCTCTGTGTTTAGGGCAACCTAGAGTTTTCGTCGGCCATTCGGTATACAAAGGAAAGGCGGCTCTCACGGTGGAGCCTCGGCCTCCGGAGTTTTCAGCTTTAGATGTATGTTTGCTTTGAGTTTACAGTCTGCTTGGGTTGAGAGATTTGGACAGAAAATAAAAGAAATCGGTTTCTTTTAGTGATAATCACTTGTTTAGATTACTAAGGCTGTGTTTGGTTGGAGAATTTGGAAAGAGATTTGAAAAGAAAAATATAAAAGTTAGGTTTCAGACACTTTTTTTCTTTCCAAATTTCTCCTCAAATCTTCCAACCAAACATAAACATCGCGTAAAGAGGAGTGAAAATGAAGAAAAAATTGGAAAGAAGTGGAGAGAAATTGATTTATCTTAGTAACCCACTTTTTGAATCTGTTGTTTTTTTTTTTTTACTTTCGAATGTTAGAATTGTAATTCGAGCATGCCAGTAAGGATCAATAAGTCTTTATAAAGGTAATAAAATTAATTAGTTAGATGATTGTTTCGAAGTTCTTTCGGTCTCAATGAGGAGGACTTTACTGGTGGCTTAGTTTTAGGAGAAAATTAAGATGACTAGAAAAAATAAAGAAAGAGGGAACAAAAGTGTCAGAAATCAATCTTTTATTAAGGCTTTGTTTGGGATAAACTAAAAAGGTCAAAAAGTCAAAAAGTTACCAAAAAAAGTTTAAAAAGTCTATACTATTCAAGGGTAGCTTGTGAGGGAAGCCACCTTTGAATTCAACTACCCAAAAAGTCAAAAGTCAAAAGGTAAAATGGTCATTTTGATTTTATTACAATATTTTATTACACATTTTTTTACAAAAATTCAAAAAGTTATCCTAAACATACATATTTTTTTCTCTAGTTTTTTAATAAAAAAGTCAAAAAATGTACTTATATAACACATCTCAAACAACTACTAGGTAAACAAAAGTTTACAATTGTACCTTAACACTTTCATAGCTTCGAAAGGGTTTACAGCAACAAACTAATTTAGAATTACCCCTAGGAATTTAAAGTGCAGTACAGGAATGTAAAGACTGGAATTTAAAGGACTGGAAAATATAAAATAAATGAACTGGTTTCTGGATCTTGTCCTCGGTCCTTGCATTATTAGCACTCTCCTCTATTTATAGGCTCTGAATATAACCGTCGAAATGGCTGATAATCCGTCGAAGTAAGTGATAATTGTCGAAATGATCTCCATGATTACTGAGTGTGGCCTGTGCTGTGGCTTTGATCAATTTGTTTCCACTATTCCACTTTTCATGGTTGTGCTTCCGTCCTGAATTGGATTTAAATTGTAGACAGCCGTTTGGCCACATCACCTTAGATATCTTGATTGTTCCCATTTTTCACGGATCCATTGCCATTGCTACAAGTTGCCACGCATTTGTTGATGGTTGGAGACTTTTACTGATTCCCCAATTTGCCCCTTATAATCCATGTGTCAGGCTGTGATAGGTCTGTACAAAATATATAGCCAACGGAATCTATCCAAAGATTTTGACAGAAAAGAAATGGGATGATTATTAATTTTATATAATAAAAGTTATTTTTGGTAATATAACATATAAGAATTTCTTTTCTATTCTTTTATGTAGTTTATCCAAACAAGATTGGAAAAGAATCAGTTTATTTATTTTTCCGGCAGCTTAACCAAACAAAGAGGGAGAGAAAATACAATATTTTCTTTTTTCTCATAACTTAAAATAGTGTTAGTTCTGTTAATTGTAAGAACATGGTTCTGAGATTTGTGTGCTGTGATTGTTTTTGTTTTGATTGCTTGATGGGTTTGTTTTATCACAGTCCGGGGCGTTTAAGCTTACCAGGGAAGGTTACGTGTTGCTTCAGTTTGCTCCTGCAGCTGGTGTTCGTCAATATGACTGGGGCCGGAAGCAGGTAAACCTCTGCTTCAACATGAAATTGCTTTAATTTGTTGTTTATTGGGGTCGCAGTTAGTGAATTTGGCATGGAAGACCATGCTTTCATTGTTTGAATGTATTTTCAGATTCAAAATTTTGTTTACCTTTGCATTTCCCCAGGTATTCTCATTGTCAGTAACTGAAATAGGAACTCTGATTGGCCTTGGAGCAAGGGATTCATGTGAATTCTTTCACGACCCTTTTAAAGGAAAAAGGTACTGTCTTTTTCTCAATTAAAATTTGCATGGAGAAACCTAGTTGTTCTCTTGACTTTGCAATGGATTTCTATGAATTGAAAATAGTATATGTTCATATCATAAGTTCATCACATATCCTTGTCATATCACCTACACTTTTAACCTTTGTGTGTGCCATAATTGCTTAGTAGATTCTTGTAGGTACATGTATCTAGATTTCTTATGCGGCGAGCCGCATCATCACTAGTGTATTGGCTCAAATCACCCCTTTACATCTTGACTTCAACCTAACCTCATGGCCTCGCATTGGATTTGCATGCCTTGCCTAGCCACATTGCTAGCCATGTTTGGAATGGCAGTACCTTGATGTCGTTATGCCTGACTAGGTCGAGTGTTGTAGCCATTGGATGCTTGAATGATTCCAGACCCTTGGTTGGGATCACCAGAGGATACGTGGTTTGAAGAATATAGCTGATGTTTCATCCCATTCTTCCTCAAGGGGCTTTCACCTTGCTTGATCAGTCTTACAGAGATGTCTTCCCAAAAAAACAAGGCCAGACTTTGACTAAGGCATATGATACTTCGTAAGGTGTATCGTACCTACTAATTGTAGCTCCTTGATATGATTCATGTGATCTGAGTATTTTTGCGGTTGTGCCAAGGGAGATGAGCCACCTGGCCTTGAGCATGGGACATCGTGCAAGGTTAAGCTGGCCTCCATGGGCTGACCCTCCTATGAAAGGAGGTTTCCATCTCCATACTGGTATAGATAATATATATACACACATATATATGTGTGTGTGTGATGTGCATATTCACCACTTCTGGCAAGTTCAGAAGCTCTCCAGTCTTCACCTACTCACTCTCTCTCTCTCTCTCTCTCATGTCCTGTGGTCATGTTTCATCTCAGTATTTACCATTATTTCCAGAGAGCTCATGATTTACCTACTCACTACGAGCAGCCTACAATAAACTCTAGGAAAGAGTAGTACTCACTTTGCCATAGACCCTTTAAGAGTTAAATGGATGGCAAATGCCACTACCTCATCTCAAGGAGGTGAGGAGGAGGCTGGGGTCTTTCAACAACATCTCTCTTTTGATTCTTTGCTGAAAGAGCAATCCTCCCAATTTGCTGTTCTTGATCAACTCTTTCCTTAATGCATTGCTCCTATCTCTTTAGTCAGAATTGAACTTAAAACTAATTGGCTCAATAAGAATTCCTAAACAAGGTTTCCGCTATCAATGATGGGGGATGGTGGTATCCTTGGAATATGAAGCATCACACATCATTTGGTACATCTAGAAATCACTTGAAAAGTTCATATTTTCGTAGTAAAGTAATATGCGTGCACTTTCATTGGCTCATAAGAGCAGTCACGCACGGGGCTTTTGTAGGTACGTGTATTTGGATTTCCTACATGCCGTGCCACATCATCACTAGGGTGTTGGCTTAAATCACCGCTTTGAAATTCTCATCTGTGGCATTTCAAAGTTTCAGCTGTTAATTTTTGGTGCATTTGTTTGGAGGCCATTTCCTTTGAATATTTTTGTTTCTTCATAATTACATCAACCCATGGCGAACCCAAAATTTTTCAGTATGCCTGCTAATATGTTTCCTGACAGAGATACATGTTGATGTACTCAGGAAGTCGCTGTTCAGCTCAACATTCGTAGGATTGCTTATTGCTGTTATAAACTTGTTTAATCATCTCAAAATGTCAAGTGCATTGTTTTTTTGTTTTACAGTGATGAAGGTAAAGTGAGGAAAGTGTTGAAGGTAGAGCCCCTTCCTGATGGGACTGGCCACTTCTTCAATCTCAGTAAGCTTCTTTTGCCTCAAAACCTTGGCAGTGATTTTGGAAAGTATATACTTTCTTCTGATCTAACATTTGATTGGTTTGTGTTCTGTGTGTACGTATTGAAGATGTTCAAAACAAGCTAATAAATATGGATGAGAGCATTTACATCCCTATTACCAAAGCCGAGTACACAGTTCTAGTCTCTGCATTTAATGTATGACACTCCTTTTTCTACGTCTTTTGTATTTCTCCTTATGTAACTGCATTGAAATTCAATAGAACTTTTTGATTATGAGATCAAGTAGCATGAGAAAATGGCGTCATATACATTATGCATCCAAAACACTATTGACTTATATTTTATTCCTCGTGATTCTGTGCAGTTTATTGTGCCATACCTTTTAGGTTGGCACACCTTTGCCAATTCCATAAAGCCAGAAGATAATATCCGTGTGAATAATGCTAATCCCAGGTCTGGAGCTGACTTTGAATGGAGCAGGTAGAGTAGTATAGTCTTTCATTGTAAGGTTCCCTAGAGCATGGGATGAAGAATGATGGCCTTTCGATTTTCTTGGCCTTTTTTTGTTGCATTGTTATTTCTTGTTTAATTTGCCCAGCTTTGTTGTGCTATATTAGCCTGTTTCTAGGTAAAAGATTCCCAAATTTTTTTGTTAGTTTTCTTTGTTGTCAGGTTGGATTTTGCAGTGGCTGCTTTCAGGACAAATATTTTCAATGAACAGATTTTCACATTTTACCATCTGTTTTTTTCCCACCCTTGTCCTTGTGATTTTTTTTTGTTTTTGTTTTTGTTTTTGTTTTTTGATTTGGGTTTGGGGTGATTGACCGTAAAAATTGTTGAAGGCAAGCACACAGTGTCTTTCATGGGCTACACCACTCATAAAGCTGTAAAAGATCGATGGGTTGTCTAATGAACTTTGTCCAGTCCTAAAGTTTTAGGCCATATGTGATATTCCATATATATGTAAAATAAAATATTAGTATGGTATATAACGAACCAAGTAGACTACTACTAACAATTTGGTTTGAGTATTTTGTGCATCATGTTGCCTTCAGCATTACAAGAAGTATCAGAGCCAATCGTAATCCCATGAAGGGAACTGTGACAGTGTGGTAAGAGTAGTAGAGGCTCGGGAGTGGGGGTAGAGATGGTATAGCTGGTCATAACTGACCACAAAACAGTCCACGTGCAGGTACATGATGCCATTTATGTTACAATGCCACAATGCCCTTCATGGGACTAGGGTTGGCTCTTCGTGTGCTGGTTGTGAGGGTGGAGTTCTCATCAATCAACAGCTTCAAGAATGCCAAAATTACTCCTTCAAAAGTCTTGGGCTGGGACAATTGGAACTATAGGTATCACATCTAATTGGGCAGATCAGCGTTGCAATTACTTCCTGATCAGCATTGCAATTACTTCCTTTGTGGTCTGAGAAAATTTACGTGGACTCAAAAATTCTGGCCAAAATGTGAATTCTGGCAATGCATACATCTGTCTCTCTTCAAATAATGTGTCATTTTAATAGAAGTTCGTGCACTGAGTTGCCCTTTTCGAGTGAGGATCCTCTCCTTGCAGCTTCTGTGCTTGCGCCCGTCCTTGCAGGCCTTCGGGTCTACTTTTAGGCCCAATTTTGATAATTCGAACCGTTTATATTTTATGATTTATTCAGTATATCATACCTGTAAAAAATCAAGTTGATCGGATATCAGAAAGTATATGTTCGGAAAACTGTTTATTAAATTCTTTAAAAAATAGTGTTTAGTTCAATTTTTCAAACACATACTTTCTGATATCCGATCAACTTGATTTTTTACAGGTATGATATACTGAATAAATCATAAAATATCAACGGTTCGGATTATCAAAATTAGGCCTAAAAGTAGACCCGAAGGCCTGCAAGGACGGACGCAAGCACAAACTTGCAAGGAGAGGCTCTTGACTCGCCCTTTTCTCTGTGATTCTCATCAATCTCGAAGAACGATCTATAGCTTATGTTTACAAAACTAACCTACAAACAAACTGAAATATTAACAATATATAAGAATTTACTAAAGTAAATTACTTGTATTGAAATTAAGCAAATTACAAGGCTCCTAAACGTTCTCTTAATTAAGATCAAGAGATGTTGCCTCTTCTTATGACTTTAAAAGTAAAATATGATGCTTATAACTTTTTTAATTTTGAGAACCAATAAATAAAGTTGAATGGAGCTTATCTTTATTGTTTATAACGTAAAAATTAACTTAATTTAAAAAATAAAAATTATTTAAAAATGATAAGATTTTTTTTTAATTTTAATTTTTAATTATCAAAATATTTAGCTTACATACCAAACAAATTTCAATCTCCCCCTCCTAGAAAAATTAACATAAAAAATTTTACCCAAAAACAAAGAGGAAAGATTTTTGGGAAAAATCTTAAAAGTTGAAATTGTATTCCATTTGGTCCCATAAAAATTCTGTTGTCCCCTTTGGTCCTTTCCGTTTTGGAAAGACACAAATATCACTGGTGGGAATATTTAATAGTTTTTTTGTGTAATAGGATTACTTGGTGTGCGTGCGGGTCACATGCCACAGTCCAAGTTTGTTGAATGGGCAAATGCTTCACAAGTGCCTTGTTTTGTGGGTGTGTTGGGTGCCACGTAATAGGAAAGCACACTAAAACTTTTTATAGGTTTTGGGTTTGGTGTGCTGATTCCATATGCCACACACCTCGATCCGACTACGTACAAACGATTGGGTTGCCATATCCAAGATATACAACATTTGAATTTGGGTTATGTTTATTTTTTATTTTTTTAGTGTTACATAATATCCGTTACGTTAGAGTGTCACATGTGATGTTTGCGAAAAGTATACTAAGCAATTTTTAATTTTTTTAGAGTGTCACGTCATACTCGCTACGTTGTCACATTCGAAAAAAGTACACTAAGAAGTTTTTATTTTTTCTGAAGTGTCACATCATATCCGCCACGTTGTCACATTAGGAAAAAATAAACTAAAGAGTTTTTATTTTTTTTGAAGTGTCACATCATACCCATCACGTTATCACATTATGAAAAAGTACACTAAAGAGTTTTTATTTTATTTTTTAGAGTACAAGTTTTTGGAGTATCATATCATACGCGCCATGTTGTCACATTTAAGAAAAGTACACTAAGAAGTTTTTAATTTTTTGGAATGTCACATTAATACTTGCCACATTAGAGTATTACATCATACATGTCACATTAATAAAAGTATATAATTTTCTACCAAAACACTACCAAAATTAAAAATAAAGCCATACAAAAATAAACTATCCACTAATAGGACTTAACAGATCAATAAAAAAAAATTGAAACTAATTAGAGTAGCTTCACAATGGTAATGTCTATACTGAAATATTCAAATATCAAAAAGTGCACATGTAATCCCACCAAAATCGTCTGCCAGCAAATGGAAGGGTATAATTGACTATTAAATACTAACAAACAAAGAAAACATGATCAAATGGGATATATTCCCCAACTAATAGTGATAATGCTAACCGTCCCGGGTGGATGGGTCGGGCTGGTCCAGGCTCTTCAAACTCCGGTTTGGGGTGGTGATTCTGTCAAATGACCTGCATGCAAGTCCAAAGGGGAACGGGGTAGTCCCCCAGTGAACCCTCCGGCGTGAGAATTAGTAGAGGAGGAAGGAAAATGTAGAGAGAGAGAGATGGAGAGATAGAAAACTTTACCTTTTTCTTGTCTTCCTATTCTTGTTTATATCCTTTGGTAATCATTTCAATGTCCCTCGTGATGTGCCCCCTTCCGCCGAAAACCTGTGCCGTAACTTACCTTGTTCTGGGCGAGGGGGCTCTGTTCCGACGGAGAGGTGTTGTCGTAATAAATGCTGTGATGGGATGCATTAATGGTGATGTATTGTTGTAATAACTCTGCAGATCTTTGTCTGCTGATGTGGCCCGTGTTCCACCTGCCATGTGCCCGAATGCCATTGGCCCTCCATGTCTAGATGGCCTCCAGCTGTCCTGGGCTTTGCCAACCGGATTATGCTATTGGTCCTAAGCAATGGGTTCGGGGTGGTTTGCTGTGGACCGTATCCCTCGTGGCCTATCCATGTCAAATAGGACTATTAAGAACAATAGAAACAACAATGGGACCAATTGGTGCAACTATTTATGGGACGAGATTTATTAGTAAATATCCCAAAAATTTAATATTTTTTAAAAATATATTTTTGAATTTTGTATATCTAGAAAATTGAGAGATCTTTGCACCTATCCCTCAGCAGCTTGTGACACGTGTCTCCACAATACACGTGTTGCACCATAATCTCAAGCATATACATATAACTAATTTTGGGAAGAGTAAAGAAAACAGAGGAAGCTTTCGTGTTCGGCAACAAATTTAGAAACCCTCGTTATTACAGATACATTTGTGCGACCTCATTCAATATCTGTAGTTGAAGATTAAGGAGCAAGTCCTTTCAAATTTAGAAAAGTACAGATATCTCTGAAACCATCAGGAGCTCCAAAAAGGCAAGTTCTTTCTTAATCCTTTGCAGATATCTGTTTATGTTTGTTTTCATTGTCATATATATATGTCAATCATTGAATGAGATCGCACAAATGGGCCTTAATTTTGGAATCCTCTATGTTGTTTGAAGATCATGATTTAACACATTCATTTACAAATTTAGAGATTATTCAAGCGAAGGAATCTAGTCTTATAGTGGAACATCTATGGAGAATTTATGGAAAGGGAAAAGAAAAAAGAAAAAAAAATTAGTTTCTATGCTATTTATTTATTATTTTTTTTTTATCTTCTCTTCAAATTAAAGATCCAAATTCAACATCTCAGCAATGGTTGCCAAAAAAACGTTAAATTGAGTACAGTGTACCTTCACTTTTAGTAGGGCAAATCTAGGTATACAGAAATAGTGAGTAATATATAATAACTATATTATAGAATTAAGGCTTGTATGGCGGGAGCGGTGAGGGAGGGACACTAGGTTCTATATTTCCTTATCAATAAATTTTTATAATTTTTGTCCGTGAAAAAAATTCGCACACAAGTCCACAAAATGTATTACTATTAACACTGCATTCATCTTGGTGGAGCCATGCATTGGTCCGCTTTTTGGGGAATTTTTCTGCTTATATAGTTTTCCCTCATTTTTAGGAATAATAATCATCTTATCTTTCCGGAACACCAGTTAGGAGTGGTCCGCCCAATATCAAGGGACTACGTAATTACATGGTTAAAAAAAACAGGAAGACTAGATAATTTTTGCGCTTTTAGTAATCGTTGGCTTTGTTCAGTGGACTTTAATTTCCAATTGCTGTGCTCTATGGTGAGAGAATGAAATTATTTTGAGCGAGTTCAAGCATAAGAACCGCTTTGCTGATATGCTTTCAAGCCAAACCATGATTAAAATAACTAATTATTACACAAGAATTTATGTGACACTTCCTATTAGCGTAAAATGTACATCCACAACTACATATATTGAAGATTAAGGGGCCTCAAAATGATATTCAATAAGCTTAATGCCGATAGATATACCTAAACCCGACTTGGACATGAAAATAATCAAACTATTTTCCCAACTTAGATTAACCACACATTGTAAAAGCTTTGTCCTCAAGATGAAACTATAGTGTGATAAAGATTTTCCACTCTAGCAGTTACCTAGGGCAAACGAAATATGTACCTTGACATTTGTGCACAATAGAATCTCCCTATTCGGTTATTGTTTGATGATTGACATCAATTACTTGGACAGTATACACAATTTATTTATACGCTCGAACAAATAAAAACAAACGTTAATACGATATGATGACAATGCAGTGGTTGCCATTGATCTAAAAGGAACTCATTTTTTTAATATAAGTTGGAGGATATAGTCCTTATTTTTATAACTCTGTACTTGAAATACTTTCATAAAGCATCAAAGAGAGTTCGATTTAACATGTTTGATATGCGCATAGGTATGGCGCACACAGAAATGCGAAAGGAAAGTTCAAACCTCGAAAGCTGCGATGCTTACTTTGAGACCATCCAAAGCCGGAAGAAATTGCCGCTTTCATTACAAGAGACTTTGACAGCCGCATTTGCAAGAATTCCCGTTTCGTCCTTCCCAGAAGTTCCCGGAGGCCACGGTAATGACAGTTATTTATCAACTCACACATGGTGCCAGCTCTATTTGCTTTCATTTTCATAATAATCTATTTTCTGAATTTTTTTGATAAATAGAAATTAGTTTGTCAAAAATAAACACCACTAAGATATTTTCAAGTTTTTAAAATTATTTTCACTCTTAAAAACCATATGAATATAATGAGTGCTTTTTCTTCTTCATTTTTTCACTAAATTAGTTCTTATATATGTATATATATATTTTTTTTGAAAAATCTCAGAAAATATATTCTGAAAACGAAATCAAACAATGTCACACCCACCCAAGTCACTGAATAACATTGTTCAACATTTCTTTTATAGTGATCGAGATTCTAGCAGACACGTCCATTTCCGACACGGTCAAAATTTTATCCCAACACAACATCTTGTCAGCTCCAGTAAGAAACCCTGATGCAGGAAACAGTGTGGATTGGAGAGAGAGGTATTTGGGAATCATCGATTACTCAGCCATTGTTTTGTGGGTGTTGGAGAGTGCTGAAATCGCTGCGGCTGCCTTGACGGCCAGTTCGGCCACCGCTGCTGGGGTTGGTGCTGGTGCCGTTGGCGCTCTTGGGGCCCTTGTGTTGGGCGCAACGGGTCCTGCTGCGATCGCTGGGCTGGCCGTCACTGCAGTCGGTGCAGCAGTGGCTGGTGGTTTGGCTGCCGATAAAGGGATAGGAAAAGATGCTGCCACGGCGGCTGATAAGTTGGGGGAGGACTTTTACAAAGTCATTCTTGAAGAAGAACCTTTCAAGTCGACCACTGTAAGTTCCAAGTATTTAAATAAGATTTCTCTGCAATCTGGTAACATCTAGTGTGGAGCCAAGATTTTGCTTGTCATTTATATAAAAATATAATCAGTGCGGAGCCAAGATTTTAGTTGAGGGGGCAAGTAATAAGACAAATTATTGGGGAGCGAGAGCAACATTGTGTACCCAACAATCCCTCCATTATGATAACGCTCTCATGATTCAAACCCATGACAAAATGGTTATGAAACCAATTATTGGACCATGTTTCAAGATCTCTCCTAACACCAATTAGTTCTAAGAGAGACGGCGGAACACAGTCTGCCACATGGAAATGACTAGCATCCCCTGCATTCAGTAATGGTGTGTCATGATTCAGAAAGAGTCTAGAAATATGACACTGAAGAAAAAATTGGCATTTGCCTACTTGACCATCGAGCAATTGCATAACACATTTGATGTAATTTCTTGTTTCAGGTGAGGTCAATACTGAAATCCTACCGTTGGGCACCTTTCCTTCCGGTTGCAACTGATAGTTCTATGTTGAGCGTCTTATTGCTCCTATCAAAATACAGGCTGAGGAATGTACCTGTAATAGAACCGGGCCAACCTTCCATTAAGAACTTCATTACTCAATCTGCCGTCATTCAGCGCCTTGATGGATGCAGAGGAAGAGATTGGTTTGATTTCATTTCCGCTCAATCTGTATCTGATCTCGGGCTCCCTTTCATGTCTAGTAATGAGGTAAGGATCTGTGTGACTACTTGTATATGGCTAGCTATGAATGTGGAGTTACAAGAATGTGTGTTTCTGTGTGTTGGTTAGGTAGTTAGTATACAGAGCAATGAACTGATTTTGGAAGCTTTCAAGAAAATGAAAGATTACCATATCGGAGGCCTTCCAGTCATTGAGGGTCCGAACAAAAAGATCATCGGCAATGTGAGCATAAGAGACATCAGACACTTGTTGCTCAAACCTCAGCTTTTCTCTAATTTCAGGTATTGTAAAAGAAAAAATTGCAACCTGCAAGTGCATCACCTCAATAGTTTCTCATTTGCTTCATGTATTTGTACTTTCCCTGTTTTTTTCACATTTTTTTTTTTTTTTTTTTGGAAATTGAAAACAAAAACGTGTTTGGTATAAAGTGATTTTGATTTACAAATTTTTCAAATTTTTTGTAAACAAAAAAGTTGTGTTTTCACTTGTTTTCAAAACAAGTTTTCACACTCCTTCCTTCCCCCCATCATCAATCATTGGCTACCCCCACCCACTGTCAGCCACCACATGTGGCCATCCTCCTCCACCACTGGCAGGGGCGGAGCCAGGAATTTACTACTGCGGGCCCCGAAAACATGCCAATGAACAAGTTCAAGCAGTCAAGTCCAGCAAAGTTTAAATGACTAAAATCAATAAATCACTATTAAAAATAAGTTAATAAATAACACTCTAAATGTGTTCTAAACTCTTAGGAGTTGATTGAACTGTAAAGATTTTAGTATAAAATTTAAAATCTTAAGTTCGAGTCACCCTAAAGGTCGTTGGACATTTTTCCGATCATTAATTTCAGGCATCCGGACAACCAATTATTGAAAAAAAAAGCAGCAAATCAAAAGTAATATTACATAATTCATTCTGTACATGAATACTAACGAATTACCAAATCGTGTTCCATACAAGTTTTTGAAGCTATTTCATACTAATGAATGAAAGAGAAAAATGGTTAAGTGAAGAGAAAATTAAGTGCAAACCCCGAAAACCACAATGATTTGTAATAAAATCACAATAATTAATAATTTTAATGTTCATAATATAACTATAACAATTTGTTACATAACTGCAATTGATTGTAATAAAGATTTTTTTTGGGTGGTGTATACCTTCATAGCATAACTAAAATAATTTGTATCTAATACCACAAAAACTCATAAGGATTTCAAGGAACATAGCATATCAGTAAAACTATGAAGGTCTTGTTTTGTTTGTTTTTCAGAAAAAAATTTTGGGAAAAATTATTTACAAACAAATTTTCAAGAGTAATCAAACCAAACAATTTTTTTAAAAAAAAATTTCAAAATTTTGTTTGGTTACCTACTTTTTAAAATCACTCTCTCTCTCTCATACACATCAAATCAATCATTTTTTTTTTAAATTCTCTTCCCAAAACAACTTTGCAAAATCATTTTTAAAAAAAGGCAAACCAAACAAGTTTTCGTACTTTTTATCTTAAAAACTATTCTACAAATAAAAACCAAACACACCCGAAAATTTTGGAGGGCCAAGTGTAATTAAATTACCAAAATTATAGGTAACATATATACATATAACATGGTTTGTTGAAACTCACTATTTAACTACTCCCCCAGATATTTTTTTTTTCCCTTCAAAATATTTGTGTATAGCGAACAAGTTTTCTTCTTCTTTTTTTTTTTTCTATTTTATTTATTTATTTATTTTATTTTAAACAAAAAAAAAACTTGTTTCTTGCTTTTTGTAAATAGAAAGCAGAAAACTGTCTATAAATCTTTGCAACTTTGGATCATATTTTATTGATCATGTTTATTGATCATGTTTTATTGATCATGTGAGAAGAAAAATATCATCAGTAATGCAGAACATTTTATTGATCATGTTTATACAAAATCATCAAGCTTCATTTTCAACTTCAAAAAATCATTTGTTACACTCCAAAAAACACACGTTAATTGATACCAACACGACACATATACATACACTATTTTTTTTTATACGCACACTATTTTTTATTATTATAAAAATATATGTAAAATATGTAATTTTATATATTTATTATATGCGATGTAAAAGGATAAACAACTTTTATATGTGAGTCAAATGGATCACTCAGTCTGAGACTATTGTATGTGGTGATTTATCTATTTTCAGCTGATTCTTTCAGGCAACTCACTGTGATGGATTTCATGAACACCGTTGTATCGACAACCCATGATACTGGGAGGGTCATCACACCAATAACATGCAAGCTTGGCTCAACTCTCGGAAGTGTGATCTACAGTCTTGCTTCCAAGTCAGTTCACCGGATTTACGTGGTGACACCAGAGGAAAACGAAGTTGTGGGAGTTATTACTCTCAGAGATGTGATTTCTTGCTTCATCCATGAGCCCCCTAACCATTTTGATAATTACTTTGGGTTTGCAGTGCAAGAAATGTTGAGCCAGTGACACGTCTCTCTTGCTGAACTTGGTTAATAACTTCATACAATGAGTAAGAAGATCTGGGTTAGGGACCGAGAGAATTTTGTGTCAATTCACTTTTGGCAAGTTGTTTTGAGTTACAGGAAACGTTTACCAACTACTTGAATGCTATTTGAAAGTTGCCATATTATAATTTGTATTTGAGCATGTGATTAACAATTGGAATTTAGGTCAGTGTAGGCAAACCAACCTGTGTTTTTAAAAACACTTGCAACACTTCACTGTAATACCCTTTTTTGAAGAGCCCAGAAACAGTAGCATTGAGCAATTCGGATGTCAGGCATTTCGTCGAACACTTTGTTAGCAATTTTTTTAAGAGATGAAGCTTTCATGTGTTGGTTGTTTCTCCTTGTGTGGCCGTTATTGCTCAAGGGTTTGGTCATGCACACTAGTGTCTCTATAGCTTGTCATCATACAGTATTTCTGTCTTTTATTTTATAAGAGATGAAGCTTTCATGTGTTGGTTGTTTCTCCTCATGTGGCAATTATTGCTCAAGGTTTGGTTTAGTCATGCACACTAGTGTCTCTATAGCTTGTCACCATACGTTATTTCTGTATTTATGTAATGAGTATGTGGCGGTGTGATCAACTTGTCGTGATATTTTTTTTTCACTCATTTATTTCTTGTGTTAAAAAGTGTTCGGTCAAATCAAATTTTGATCTTATTTTTTAACACATGGTAAATAATATGTATTAACTTAGTCACATAACACATCTCATTACCTAAAACTTTTTTTATTAGAGAGCTATGTATATTGAAGTATTATTGGCCTTATCTGAGCGAATGAGTAGTGTTGTACAAATAAAAAATTATATAAAATTTTGATTCTGAATAATGTGGTAGCTCTCAAGTTTTATCACATAAAAAATAAGAATCGACTAATATGATTTATAATTTTAAAATTATTATTATCACATTATTATGATATAAAATTATGAATAAAAATATACTTGTAGATATTTTCTTTTTCATTTGGACTCCAGGTGCACCTGAGTCATCATGGCTCCACCATCTGTCTTGTTGATCTTGAAAGGTTGCCTAATGTAGAGTGCGGCATTCCCACTGAGAATTTCATGTCAACTGGTTATGGGTTGCTTTTCTCTTAAGTTATGAATTTATAAATTTGAAAAGAAAAAAATAGATAGAGAAAAAAAATTAATTTATATTTTATTTACATTTTTATTAAATTTTTATTTAAAATACAATTTAAAGAAATTTTTTGATAGTCGTGATATCGTTCCATTAGACGCAAAGTGAATTAGAGGAGTAATGATACTTGTCATTCAAAATAAAGGAGATAATTTTTTTTGACACTTCAAGATAAAGAAGAATGATCGGCTTTATGAACCACCACCGTTGACAAGTCTCCTTAATTAAATACTAGAAAAGATCATCGAGAGGTTGAGTGCGAGCTTCTGCGAGAGTAGACCCGAGTTGATTGGTCAAGTGAAACAATATATTGGTGCCATTTGTGTTGGTGGTGTTTAGGAAGTTTGGGACTTGGTTTTTTTTTAATTTTTTTTACAAAAAAGATAAATTTTTTGTAAAATAAAAAAAAATGCATTTAAATAAAATATCACATTTAATCCCATAATTATTTCACTTTTTCTCTCATAAATATCACATCTAACCACAAAAAAATTTAACTACCTTTTCAAACATTAAAAAAAAAAATTTCTAATAATATCCTGAACCTAAAAAAAAAACTTATATAAAAACTCACTTCCTAAACACCACAATGTTTTGATTAGGTTGCGAAAATTGTTATGGTCTTAACCAATGCCATCACACTTGTCCTTGACTAGTCTTGGACAATTTAACTCAAAATTTGGCAGCAGCAGTGTTTGAGTAAGGTCAGGAACAGGTTAATTTAATAATTTTTTAGTTATTTGATTAAAATATGAGTTAAAAAAAATTAGTATGTTTAAAATGATTTTTTAATTTTTTACAAAAAGATGTGCAAAAATTAGAGAGAAATTCACTTTTTCTTTCATAAATATTACATCTAACCACAAAAAAATTTAACTACCTTTTCAAACATTAAAAAAAAAAATTTCTAATAATATCCTGAACCTAAAAAAAAAACTTATATAAAAACTCACTTCCTAAACACCACAATGTTTTGATTAGGTTGCGAAAATTGTTATGGTCTTAACCAATGCCATCACACTTGTCCTTGACTAGTCTTGGACAATTTAACTCAAAATTTGGCAGCAGCAGCAGTGTTTGAGTAAGGCCAGGAACACAGGTTAATTTAATAATTTTTTAGTTATTTGATTAAAATATGAGTTAAAAAAAATTAGCATGTTTAAAATGACTTTTTAATCTTTTACAAAAAGATGTGCAAAAATTAGAGAGAAAAAAAAATCTTTGACTTTTTAGTATGAGTTGTTGGCTTTTTGACTAATTTAGTAATTTTTTTACTTTTTAACTAAAAAAGAAGATTCCCAAACGAGGCCTAAGTCCATGTTAAAGTGATTCCAAATAAATATAGAATAGATAGAATTTTGTTAAAAGGTATTTATACATAAGTCTTAATTTATAAATTTATACTCTATTAATTAAGATTTTTTAGATTTTAAATCTTATTAAATTTTTAATAGTCAGAATTGTTCTTTAAATAACTATTGTCATTATTTATGATAATTTATAAATAAATATGATGATTTCACATTTATTTGATTTTCAAAACTTTAAAATATCAATTTTTAAATAGAAAAAACTATAAAAAAAAAATTACATATGAAAAAATTGAAAATTTTAAATTATTTTTTGTGCAAAATTGAAAATTTTGGAGTATGATGATGGAACATTAATGTGCAAAATTGAAAAAAAAACTTTAAAAATGAAAAATTGATAATATTCTCAGTTTTAAAACTGAAAAAAATTGATAATATTCTCGGTTTTATTAGATAGTTGAATCAAACCAATAAGTAGAAAAACAAAAATGTTTAATCTTGTGCTCTGTTTTTTTATCAGTTAGTGAAATAATTATCTGGAACATTACTATGCAAAATTGATAATATTTTAGTTTTAAAAATTGAAAAAAAAAACTGATAATATTTTCAGTTTTACTAAATAGGACTTATTGGTTCAAAGAATCTTAAATAGGGCCTGAGTTACCATAATATCTGTAAATAAGACTTTTAAATAATTAACTCTTTTATTAATTTATTTCCTAATTAAGAGGAATTTTAAATGTGAAATAAGATACAAAATCTTAAGAAATTAATAATTGCAAGACTATTAGTCTTGAGACTTTAATAATCTCATGTAATATAATTTAACGAAATAAATATGATCTAATGTAATGGGTAACACTAATTATATGATGACAAGGACTATCACCGGAACAAAATTGTGCATGTTTGGAGCACTTTTGCACTCAAACGAAATATTTGAATTTGAGTTAGAATTTGTAAAAGAAAGAGAAAAAAAAGAAGTGAAAAAAATTAACTTTATTTATTTATTTAGTTATTCATTTTTTTTCTTCTACCTCAACAAATTTCACCTCAAATTATTAGTCAAAAGTTGTTGTCATTGATAGTAGTTCAAAATTTGATGAGACCTTAAGTTAAGCATTAATAATTAGCGCCTTGATTTACTAGAAAGTAAAACATAAGGTAGAAAATGTACATGTCATAATGATAAACTTGAATCTAATGACATAAACTTTTTCTTTTCTTTTCTTTTCTTTTTTTTGTTGAGAAAAATGACTCAAACTTGATTTACAAAAGTAGGCTACTTACCATAAATGCATTTCTTTTAAAATTTATCTATCTATTAATTTATTTTTTAAAGAGCATTTGGGCATAACTCTTTTTAGATGTCTATCTATCTATTAATTTAGATTTTGTTTGGCATGATTTATTTTAGCACATTTTTTTTCTTATTTTAATCACGTCACCTCTTATTTAAATCACATCACATATCTATCATATTGTACATCTTTTTATAAAATGTCAAAAAATATATTAATCTAATACATCCCAAACAACTCCTTATTTTTAATTTAATTTAATTTTTTTTGAGGGATTCTACTTACGCCACCAATTTAACTCCTTACACTCTCATTTTTATTTTTATTTTAATATTTTTACAATTCCTTTATTACTTTCATCTCTAACCTTCCTCATTTTTATTCTTCTTCTCTTTACACCCAAAATCTAAAAAATTATAACCCTAATTCTCCTCCACCATCACCTCCGACCACTACAGGCCCTTGCCACCATTGCCACTACTCACCTCCGACAATGCCGCCGACGCCATTACTCACCACCGCAGGCCCTTGTTGCTGTTGTCCTTGTCACAACCACCACTCTCTCACTACCATTGTCATCATGACCTTGTCCCCCATCTATTCCAACTTCGACCCTCACCGTTCCACTGCAAATAACATGATTATTTGCGGTCACAGAACATAAAGGCAAAACAGTTATTGTTTTGAAGACGCCAAATGAAGTTAAGATGCTATCATCATATAGTGGGCCAACGAGGGTGGTGGTGACCGACGAGGGTAGTGGTGATGGGCAAGAACTAGGGTTAGGATTTTTTAGGTTTTGGATGTAAAGAGAATGGGGAGGAAGGTTAGAGATAAGTGTAATAAAGGAATTGTATGAATTATAAAAAAAATAAAATTTGAAGGTGTAAGGAATTAGATTGTGTAACACCCAAAAAATGTAAATTATAATTATTTGAATTATCCATGTGTTAATTGCAGATTATATTATTTAATTTGTGTGTATTTGTTCAAATTGAAAAATTATTTGTTGAGAATACAACTTTGGAATGGAAATTGATGACCATATTGGGTTCAGGAATTGAAATTGAAACCATAGATATGTTCATTGGAATTTTTAGAATCATCTGAAAAGTTTAATTAAAAATTGATTCCGTCTGATTCGCTAATTTTAATAGGTTGGAATTAAATAATTGAATAGGAAGTAGAGCTTAATACACATTAGCATAATTTAATTTAGTGTCATTAAGATTATAAATGATGAAGATTAATTTAATTTAAGGGAATTTGATTTAATTAAGTTTGTGATTGGCATAATTTAATTAAATATGATGAATTAGTCTAAATCTAATCTAACTTAAGTATATTAGTGGAGGATGAATTAGCCTAAATCTAATCTAACTTAAGTATATTAGTAGATTGGTGGCTAAATATAAGCCTACTCATCAATATAGCAAGAAAAGAGAGACCAAGGGAGAGAGTGAGTGCATTATGCTGGAGAGTTATTGAGAGAGAGAGAGAGAGCTCAAGAAAGAAAGAAAAGAAGAACAAGAGGAAGAACATGGAAGGAGAAAAGCTTTGACCTACACAAATTCATCAGCTTAAGATAGAAATCCTCTTCTAATTTTATGAATTTAACTTGTTATACTTATAAACCCATGGAATCCAAGTTCAATTAAGAAGAATTCAAGTTTAATTGGTGGCTTTATAGAGTAAAT